AATCAACAACCATGCACAAACACGCTCCCTCAAATGGACATGCACAAAAACGTACATGTAAAAATACATGCGCAAAAGTGCATCCGCAACAACATTCTTAAAAACACGAACTACAATACTATGACTTTAATACGCATCAACAGACAACAGCAAAAACACTAGATAAAAAAGATACAATGGAGTGTAGCAATAATACTCGACGTTTATGTTAACGTGGATTTTTGTTTGGATTAATTTATATTTCTGTTTTTATTGGTGGATTTGGTATCTTTTAGGTACAAATCGAAAATTAGGTGTCCAGGAAGCAAAAATGATCAAAGGGTAGGAAAAGAGTTGCAATTAAGAAAATCAAATCAAATTAGAAGAGAGAATCCCTCAACTTCTTTGGTAGTGTCCACGAGGTCGGGCATAACTCTCTCATCCGGACTCCAAATCGAGTGGTTCCGGTGGCATTAGAAAGCTATTTCAGTGGGCTACAATTCCCGTATAACGTCAAAATTCCAAATTCGGACTCGAACATGGTCATAATTGGATAACAAAAGCGATCATGAGAATACGTACTACAATTCAAGGACGTGGATGCGCATCAAGAAATGTGCACAATAACACTTGCTAGAAAATATACGCATATGAGTAAAAGTTCCAAAGCATGCACAAAAGTACTCACGCAAAAGTGCATTCGCAAAAAGGATCATGAAAACACAAACTACAATCCTAGGACACTAATACAAATCAACAAACATGCACAACCACGTTCCCTCAAATGGACATGCACAAAAACGTACATGTAAAAATATATGCGCAAAAGTGCATCCGAAGCAATCTTCTTAAAAACCCGAACTACAATCACTACAAGAAAAACTGGATTTAGGGACGATTTGTTATGGTCGCTAAAAGCAATACAATGGTTATTAAAACCTACAGTGACCAAATTAAGATTGGTCACTCGTGGTCACAACAGAGTGGCTACTAAAAGTATTAGTGGCGAATCAAATAGTTGGACGCTAGTTTTCTTTATTTAGCGACCATATAATCATGGTCAGTAAAGATGAATGTATTAACGACAAATTAATTACTCGCTAATGTTAAAAATTATGGTCTCTATAATATTAATATGGTTGCTATACCTATATATTTAATGACCAATTCATGCGATTGTATTTATTTAGCAACCAAGAAATTGGTTCCAATATAGTATTAAAATGGTTGTTGTAACCTACATTCAGTGACCAATCGTTTTGGCTGGTAAATAATATTTTATTTAGCAACCAAAATATTGGTACCAATACAATATTAACCTGGTTAATGTAATTGCAAATTTAGTGACCAATTTTTCTGGTTGGTAAATACATTTATTTAGCAACCGAGAAATTGGTTGCAATATAATATTATTGTGGTTGCAATAATTGTATTTTTAGTGACCAATTTTTGTGGTTGGTAAATATTTTTTCTTAGCAACTAAGAAGTTGGTTGCAATATAATATTATCGTGGTTGCTGTAATTGTACATTTAGTGATCAAATTTTTGGTTGGTAAATAAAAATTATCTAGCAACCGTCAAGTTGGTTGCAATATATTATTATTTAGTGACCAAACCTTTTGGTTGGTAAATAGTATTTATTTAGCAACCGAGAAAATGGTTGCAATATACTATTATTATGGTTGTTGTAATTGTATATTTAGTGACCAATTTGTTTGGTTGGTAAATAAATTTATTTAGCAACCGAGAAGTTGATTGCAATAAATATTACCGTGGTTATTGTAATTATACATTTAGTGACCAAATCTTTTGGTTGGTAAACAATATTTATTTAGCAACTGAGAAGATGGTTGCAAGATAATATTAATATTATTTCTATAACTATACATTTAGTGGCCACATCCTTCTGGTTGGTAAATAATATTTCTTTAACAACCAAGCAATTAGTTGCAATAGATTTAACGTAATATCTGATGTATACATATTGAAAACCAAAATATAGATGCAAAAACAATTCGAACTAGTTGCTAATACTTAGACAAGAAACAACGAACACTAATTGTAAAAAAATAAAATATTTGTTCATTTATACATTTCATAAACATTGTCCAAAACTATTCACATTGCTTCATTTCCGGACTGGGACATCATGATCAATGACTTCACGTTGATAGCAAGTGTAGCTCCAACTCAAAGAGCAGCCAAAAAAAACAAAAGGGGATGAAGTTGCCGGATTGCATTAAAAGATTATGGAAAAAGCCTGTAGTTCTGCTCTGCAAGTCAAATAGTGGTAGAAACACTATTTTGTATAAGTGATTAATCTACATATAAGTAAAATACAAAATTACCTATTTTAAAATAATCCAGTTGCAATAGAGTGACTACGATTTGCAGGATATTTGAAATATTTCCCTTCATATCAACGAAAAGTCTTGTGCTGATAAGGAGCATGGATAAGAACGGGGAGTCACAAAAACACCGGTAGCGGTGGATCATAGAAATCCCTGCATATTAAGTAAAAATGAAGTCCATAAATGTTTTTAGTTCAACTTTTGGAAGCAACAACCAACTACCAGAGAAATATTTCTACCTATTTTGCTTTTGCTGCATCCATCCACCCACCTTACGCATGAAACTATAGTTGCTCGGTAGTCTACATGGTTCAACATTTCGTCATTTCAACTCCATAGAGCCCCCAACGGAAGTTTATGTCAAGCTTGACATACAACAATATCATTCAACCTTTATATAATTAATAGAAGCCCAACTGTTTTTTAGTAACACTACCTGACTTAAATCCTCTTTGACCTCTTCCTATTCTTTGATTACTTCTCTGATTTCCTTGACTGATTGTAGAACGTCCTCATTCCTAAAGCAAAATAAACCAAAAAAATTATGTGAATTTTCAACAAAAAAGAAAAGGCACACCAAAGTGTTGAAAGCAATAGAAGCTTATGAGTTCGAAGAATCACAATTCTTGAAAGTGGTCAAAGACAAATGAAAATACACAATATATGTGATTTCAATTCACCCAGTATGTGAACTTCACTTTTTGCTTCAACAAATATTATTTTTGAAATAATCTATCACCCAGCATATGAAGATCTTCAACTGTTCAGAGTAATCTGCAAAAAAAAAAAAAAAAAAGGACCAACGGCGTCTTCTTCAGTTCAGAATAAAACACATCTAAAGTGCTATCACAATACAAAATATATTCACTTTTTATTTTGATCAGGTCTCCCATATATACTGCAAATCTTTGAAAATATCTTCTATTTCATGTATTTTACACCCTGTTCAAGGTATGTTCAAGGTTACTGCATATGATACCAAAAATACATAGGTGTATCATTCATAAAAATAATTCAGTTCCAATTCCAGCTAATCAAAACAAAGTATTCGATTATAAGAAATAGACTGAGGGCTTTGATGAAATTTCAATAGTTGTTTACTCTATACAATCAAAAATATATAAAAAGGAAAAAAGGACAAAAGATTGAGATTATTACTAACTTTAACAAAACATATATACTGAGATTTGTGTTTTGATTTCTTCACAGCTAAATGTAGCAACAGTCACCTAATTCATTAGTTGTTAGCCAAAAATTTATCATCCTATCTATCTTATTTTACCAGTTCCAAATACTTATTCAATAAATAAATCAGAAATTTAAACAAAAATAAGACCAAAACTGAAAAACCGAAACCAAAACCGATCAAAGCTCAACAAATGAAACCGATTGTGTTTGTTTTTGGATTAATAGAAACAAAATAAATCAGATCGTATTCCTGTTTTTGACAATTGTGAAATTAAAGCCCTAATTTTCATTCATAGAAATATGACAATTAAACAATCTGCAAAGAAAAAAAAAAATTCTTAAATAAACTATTACAACAAACAATCCTTACATTATCCGCACATGTACACCCGAAGTAGTGTGCCAATCAAAACGTAAACCTCGTTTCTTTGTTGACCCAACCACTGCTGCCAATAACTCCTAATAGTGTGAATTAATTGTGTACGTGTTAGGGATGCTAAATGGTGATGCCCTTCGTGTTCCAAAATATGATTTATAGGAGAATTTCAATTTTGAGAAGACTCTGGTATGGGATTGGGGTGCGAGATGCAGAGTATTTGGCTGTGTGCGTGCTATTTGTGATTTGTGATGAGGAGAGTCTTTGATTTTCTTTCTCTTTTTTCTTTTTTTCCTCTTTTATAAGAAAAAAAAAAGCTAATGGGTTGGATGGGCCCTTCTTAGGTTAATTAATTAGAAGCATGTATTTTTTTCATTTTTTGTTTGAGAATTCATTTTTTTTGTTTTGTAAACAACATAAACTAATACTGATTAAACCAATTTAGATTAAGAAAACATGTGATAAAAAAATATAATCTATTAATTTTAATATACAATTAATTTCGTTTGTACTCTATTTATTTTTATATAATTAATTTGGTTTCATGCACAAATAATGATTTGACTAATTATAAGGTTAAATACAATTTTTTTGATTCTTTAAAACATAACACTAACAGCTTGTACAGTTCAAGAAAATTTCCATTTATGAACCTATCACAATTTTCTAATTCTTCGAACAAATTAGTTTGGCAAATTGTATTTTTTTTATAATCAATATTATTGTGTTATTTAAAATTTATGTTTTAATTACTATTAATATTATTTGATACAACTTATGGAAATATCTATAATATATTTTTAGTCTTTAAAATATAAATAAATTAATGTGTGATATTAAAGTTTAAAGGAAATGTGATATTATGGGTGAATTTGTGCAGTATATACTAAATTATAACTATATATACTATTAATACAATAACACAAAATCATTATTAATTGAAAATAAGGTAAAAAAAATCCTTCTTATAGCCTGGCCTTAACAGTGATTTGCTCTCTTTTGCTCACACAAGTGAGAGGAAAAAAATTATTCACTTGATGGTGAAAAAAAAATTGAAAATGTGAGATGATATGATTCTTGTGATCGTGTGTTCACAAATTAATTCACTATTCCAAGTCACTATCCATATTAGCATGAGATGCAACTTCATCATCACTAGTCAAATATTGAACCACGGTGTCATCTTGTTCATCTTCATCTTCTTCGTCTACTTCTTCGTCTTGATCATTGTGAATGTTTTCACGAGAATTAATTATTTGTTCAGCAATTTCAATCTCTAGAGGAGCTTCATCATTTCGAACCACCGATCCAATCTCTTGAGCATGAATTTGAACTTCAATATGAGCACAATTTTCTTGTTGATATGCATCACTCACATCAGGCTCCTTTCCAGCAGAGATGAGTGATGCGTCAAAAAGATGTCGATGTTGTACATGTTGAACAACTTTCCAATTCCCACCTAATTTTGTATCACTGACGTAAAAGACCTGGGATACTTGATTCGCTAATATATAAGGTTCATTTTCGTATCAAAGCTTCCCCACATTTATGCTAGTAAGATCACCATCTATTTTTATTGCTTTATGACGATCCAAATCAAACCATTTACAACTAAATAATACACATCGATAACCATGGACATAGCTTAATTCAATCACATCTTCTAAGACTCCATAAAACTTGATCATCTTACCTTTGTGAACAGAATCTTTAGACACTCCATTATTTTGTGTCACTCGCCTAGAATCTCTTTTGCTAGTTAGATACTTGACTCCTTCTACAACACATCCACTATATTTACTAAGACGATAATCAGGCCCAGATGCAAGTGCTAGAAGTTCATCGGTAGCTTTGATAGATTTTATACTCCGTAGCTTTTTAATCTAAATATCAAAATAATGAAAATTAACATACATTGGATAAAGAACTACAGTTGTTCCAAAAAAAAAACTATTACTGTTAAAAAAAAAGTAATAGCAATTTAATGAACAATATTAAAATATAATTTAGAAATCTTACTCGATTATCAAACCATTTAGCAAACTTCTTCTTTTGTCTAGCCTCCCAACCAATAGGATTTTCTTGCTTCAATTTCTCTTCATGTTCTCTGAAAGAAACAATAACTAAATTAAATAATATTAAAATGAAATTGTAATAATAATAAAAATACACTTGCCTCAAATATAATTCTATCTCTGCACAATTATTTAACACAAACCAATGCAATTCACTATATTGTTGAGAGGACATCTGTAAAAAAATCGTTTCTCCAAAAGTCCGTATTTTACTTCTGAAAACAAAGATTGTTGCACTTAGATGTGCCTCGCCATCATAATTTCTTTAATCTCTGTTGTATTTCGTCCCCATTCCATGGAGATACAACGAGCAAAAAGTCAAACACTCTTTTACAATATAGGCCTCGGCAATGGAGCCTTCAGGACGAGCTCTATTCCGGACCATCCCTTTTAGACTACTTAAATACCTGTAATAATATCGAAAAATATTTCAACATTAATTATATAGGAAAATATTGAAGTACAAAGACACATTTAACAACGGAAACAAAGAGATAATGTTTTAACTTCAACATATAAAGAGATAATGTTTTAACTTCAACATACAAAGAGATAATGTTACCTCTCGATAGGATACATCCATATATAGTGAACTGGTCCTCCCGTCTTTGCTTCTTGTGCCAAATGAACTGCTAGATGGATCATAACATCAAAGAATGCGGGTGGAAATATCATTTCTAACTTGCTTAATATCACAGGAATCTTATTTTCCAAATCATCGAGGACTGCAATATTTAGTTTTCGAGAACACAATTGTCTGAAAAAACTGGCTAACTCGGTAATAACACCGAGAATATCTTTGTGAAGGTAACCACGCAATCCTACAGGAAGTAAACGTTGTAATAACACATGGCAATCATGACTTTTCAACCCTGTTATTTTACCATCTTTGATATTCACACATCTAGAGATATTCACAGCATACCCATCCGGAAATTTTACTCCTTTCAAGAATTTACAAAAACTTTTCTTCTCCTTTGGGGATAATGTAAAAAGTGCTCGCGGCTTTAAACACTTTACTTTACCATCTTTATTTGCTTTGGCACCTTCTAGTGATCTTATGTGTAACTCACTCCTGATACCCATATCCTCCAAATCCAAACGAGCCTTTTCTGTATCCTTTGTTTTACCATCAATGTCTAATATAGTTCCCATCACATTATCACATATATTCTTCTCAATATGCATTACGTCAAGATTATGCCGTAATTTAAGTTTTGACCAATACGGCAACTCAAAAAGTATACTCTTCTTTGTCCAACATGAGGGTTGGGAAGGACGCTTTCGCTTTTTGTCCATAGAATGCTTGCCAAGCACGACAGTTTCTACTTCTTTTAGTTGGAAAAGAATATCATCAATAGGCTTGGATCGGTGTTCTGCTGCACCATTGAATTTAAGACTTTTTCGGTAAGGATGATAGTGTGGCAAATAACGTCTGTGACCTATATAACCAATCTTACTCCTTAGCCTTTGTGAAGGAGTACGGACGCTGCATCTTGGACAAGCATAATATCCCTTTGTTCGATGTCCAGAAATATCACCATATGCAGGAAAATCATTTATCGTCCATAAAATTGCAGCACGCAAAGGAAAAAGTTCTCCAGTTTTTGCATCTCTTGTTCTCACTCCAGATTCCCACAATTCGTTCAGCTCATCGACCAAAGGTCTCAAATAGACATCAATATCTCTTCCAGGTGATCGAGGACCGGGAATCAAAAGGGACATCATCAAGTAAGGTTCTTTCATGCACTGCCAAGGTGGTAAATTATATACCATTAAAACCACATGCCATATACTGTAAGAATTATTCATATTACCAAAAGGATTAAATCCATCAGTAGCTAGCCCAAGACGCACATTTCGAGGATCTTTAGCAAATGAAGGGTACTGCTCATCAAAATCCTTCCAGGCATTAGAATCTGCAGGATGAATCATCATATCATCTTCCTCAATTTTCCCATCCTTATGCCATCTCATATCAGATGCTGTTTTTCTTGACATATACAACCTTCGTAATCTTGGCTTCAGAGGAAAATAACGCAAAATTTTGTGAGGAACTTGCTTTCCTTTGCCATCATTTACCTTCCATCGAGACTCTTTGCATACTGGACAACTATCTAAGCGCTCATGTTCTTTCCAAAAGAGAATACAATCATTTTTACATGCATGGATAAACTCATACCCCAACCCAATCCCTTTCAATACCTTCCTGGCCTCATAAAACGACGACGGAATTATATCTTCCTCCGGCAGATATTGTTTAAATAAATCAATAATCATGTCAGAACACTTATTAGTCATCCGATTCAATACTTTTATATGAAGCAATTTGACGAGGAAAGATAACAACGATTTCCAACAACCGGGATATAATTTACGTTGTGTATCTTTCAACAATTTCTGAAATTTTTCCACTTCATCAACTAACATAATATTTGGTTGATCACCATTGAGATCATCAGGATGCTCCAATGGATTTTCACGATCAATAAAATTATGCACTCCAAAGTTCAAATCTTCTAACAACTCTTCTTCCTCGAATGTTTTATCTACATCATCATTATCAATGTCATCGTCCACATGTTCATACGGATCTTCACCGTGGTGCACCCATTCATCATAATCGATGTCCATCCCGTTGGTAAGGATATGCAATTTGACCAAGTCGGGTGGGTGCAAAATCTGATTCAGACAGTTGCTACATGGACAACGCATAACCTTTCTATCCCCAATATGCATCAGAGCAAATCTCATGAAACTTTTAACTCCATAAACAAAATCTTTTGAAGTAACATCGTTGAGCTTAATCCAGCTCTTATCCATTTACAATTTCTTATACTGAAAAAAAAAAAAACAATGTGATAAACTTAGTCAAATCATAGCCGAAAACATGTTGTGACGGTATTTGGAATTTTATAAACCGAAGCAATCAGTTATTATTCAAGTTTATGGCAGACAAAGATTTAGGGCCTCTAATTTCAATCCCAATTTAAGTCTGACAAACATAGATAATCCAAAAAACAAACCTAATCTTATACAAACTACTCAAACAAACAATCCTTGCAAATTAATTGAATTATTCATACCCGTATACCTGAAGTAGTGTGGCAATCAAAATATAACCCTCGTTGTTGTGTTGACCCAACCACTGCTGACGATTTCAACTAATCGCAGCTGCCAATGACTCCTAATAGTTTGGGATGCTAAACGGTGATGCACTTTGTGTTCCAAAATATGATTTAGAGGAGAATTTCAGTTTTGGAAGACTCTGGTGTGGGGTGGGGGTATGAGATGCAGGGTATTTGGCTGTGTGCTATTGCGACTTGTGATGCTGAAGAGTCTTAACTCTTTTTTCTTTTCTTTTTTGTTTTTTTTTTAAAGAAAAAGAAAGCTAATTTGTTTGATGCCCTGTATTTGGTTATAAATTGCTAGCATATATCTCTTTCTTTTTCTTTTATTTTTATGGAAATTGTTTTTGTCCATACACCAAAAGTTTAGCATTAATTAAAATAGTTCATATATATATATATTTTTTTTTCATTTTTGTAAACTTAATACTTGTCTTTAGGGGTGAGAAAAAAAACCAAAAATCGAAAAAACCGAGCCGATACGCACCGTCCCGACTTAAAATCGAATATACGGTAATTGTTTTTTTAAAACCGAATATATCGCCGAATATATCGGTAATATATCGGTAATATACGTCATTTTCATATATAGTATAAATATTTACCGTCTTCCCCTCGCGCGCCTCTGTACTTCGAACGCCTCAATGTGACATTTTTTTATGAGTTAATGTTGGGTTGTTTTTTGTTAATTTTCTAAAACAAGTGCAATGAAAGTCCAAATTCACTGTTAATTAAATATCGGTTTTATGCCAAACCGATCGATCGATAGAAGAAACCGAAACAAAAAGTAAACCGAATTGATACCGAAACTTTTAACTGAAAATCGAAAAACCGACTAACACCGAACCGAAAAAAATCGACATGTTCGGCTCTTAAAATAGGGAAAACTGATATTATCGGTACGTGCACACCCCTACTTGTCTGAGAAATTTGATAGATTGTAAAGTTAAATTTATGGATGAGAAGGATGATTGGGGCAAAAGCTCGTGAGGTCGGTGAGCCGGCTCGACGAAATCTCGAATTCGAACTCAATTTGTTTCTAGCCGGCTTTCTAACGAGTCGATCCTCATCTCATTCTTAATTTTTCGTGAGCTCGCGAGTCGGCTCGCGTTCTTTACTTATTTATTTTACTTTTTTTTTAGTTTAACTGTAATTAGTATAAAATTAAATAATAAACTCACATAAGTAACTAAAAAAGATAAATTACAGATCATTTTTTTATTTAGAGCGAATAAATTTCTACAGTTGGTTGAAATCGCAGAGCAATCAAACGTACTAAACCCGTAAAACATCACCCATAACCGAATGATATGAAGTAACCTGAATTTAAAAACATATTATATATGCAAATTATAATATATGAACGAAATACATGAAGCATAGATTGCGATTGTGGGATTATGGATCCGATCGGTCTCGATTAAGACTAAAGACTGGTCAATTTCAGAATTTTATGAAAACATAAAGTTTTGACAGTTTTTTAAATCATAAATCAAAGAATTGTATTAAAAAATATTTAAATTATTTTTCACGTACAAAAATTGAATAGTGTTTTCGAGCATGTGTAGTTAAAGGAAAAAAAAGGTTGAAAATATAAAGTTATAAATAAAAACATGGCTATAGTATTTACATATAAAAATTCATTTTAAGTTTTTTCAGAATAAATATTGAAAAAGTTTCTCTATATTTTTATATCTTTAAAAATTTCAAGTGGTATATTTTAATTTTTTAATATTAGAAAATAACAAATCTTAAATCTCTTAGTAAACACCCCTTATCATGTCATTACAATATACAGATACACACATAATAATATGATATAATAAAATTACACATACACTAACATAAGTGCAAGAACAAGATTGAATGAAATCGAAGGGTATTTTGGATGAAAGGGCCCCTTTTCTTTTCACAGGAGAATTGGTGCTAAGAGTTGGCGGTATTGATCTCCAAATTTCAGAAATCACAAGCAATAGAATCCCTAAAGCCAACCCTAATTCCTATTCGTTAGGAAGAGAAAAACCGTAATACCCCCAAATCTCACATCAAAATGGAAAAAAAAATCAGAATCCAAATCATCAATCCAACCTAGAATAATAAAAGAACGTCGACAAATCCAATACTCTAGAAGATTGGCGCTAAGGGTGGTTTTTAGAGGGGAATTGGCGGCAATTTACTATTTGATAAGGTAACTTCAAAATATATGTATTGATGCTAATTTACTGTATCAGAGATCACGAAATTATGATGCACAAAGACTCTCAACTCGCAGGTCGAACAAGAAAGATTTACTATGTATTTCCTTTCAATAGCAATTGTTGTATTAAAATTTTCAAGATCCGTTCTTTTTTTTTTTTTGTTTTTTTGCTGAAAGAAAAGTTTAGCTTGTATGTACCAGATAAATTTCTCATTATAAGATTCCATTGTCATATTGGTTTACATGATACATGTTTTTTAAGGTTTTTTCATTGATTTCAATATCTTAATTATTTTCAGATCTCAAGTCTAATAATGAGTATGGATCACAAACGTAGAATGGAGATATCAAGAGCATTGAAGACAACTAACAACATTGGAAATTTGAAACGTAAGATGGAGTTAGCCGGTGCTTTAACTGCAACAAATGATATAGCTGATGAGCCAACTGAGCATTCCTTACTTCGATCTTTAAATGGTATGTGATATTGACATTTTAATTTATTTTATTTTAGTTGCCTTTATATATAAAAGATAGTTTAAGTTAACATTTTGTATGAATATTGTAGTTTCAAGTAAAAATAAGAGAGTTTTGCCCCCGACTAAATCAAATATTTCTAGCTCTTCAACTAGACAACCGGCAGTAAACCCCAAAACTAGCGATAAAGGTACTTCTTTTTATATAATTGGGTAAATATATATAAACTATGTTTATTCAATTTTTAGGTTTACGTATTACCTCAACTCAACTAAAAAGCTAATCAATAGAGTGCATACAGAAGATCTTCAGGTACAACACATGACCAATGCGTCAAATGAGCACAATAGAGTTGATGTTACAGGTATTGTTATCTAAAATAGTTTTTTTGTACTTATTTTTACTTATATCTTGAATGTAACAAAATTAATTTTAGAATCAACTACAGATACAGTGGATAAAGAAAATGTCGTAAATGGTAATGTTATATCATATTTTTCTTTATCTAATTTATTCTATATTGGTACAATAAATAATTGACTTGTCTTTTCATCTATTTATGTTAAATATGGATTAGTGAATAAAAAATGAGGTCGTGGACTGACTAGAGGGTTAAATACCCAACAATATAAACGTAAATCTGGGGGGAGAAGCCAAAAATCACTATTGCAAAAGGATTAAACAGGCCCGTTGGAGAGCATAGCTCCAAACATGAACTGAGATCGGAGTGTTAATTAGGTGTGAGGCTCCAATGCAAGTTGAGGGTTGGGCAAAGATCCCGGATGAAACAAAAGATCATCTTCTTAGAAAGTTGACTGTAAGTGATGTTTTTAATTTTCTTTATTTCTAATTTTCTTTAATTCTATATTTAGCCATATAATAGTAACTAATTCGTATGTTTCAATTTTTCTAAATATCAAAAAGAATAAGCTCAGCTATGAACTGGAGGAACCTCATGTTGTTCAATGCATTTGGAAGTCTTTTGCCAAACAATATTCATCTTTCCGTTCAAATGCTCATAAATATTATTTAAAATGGAAAGAAGGAGGTGGTGTGACACTAGCTAGGCAAAATATATATGAAAAACTTGGTGATCGTCGTGACGATTGGCTTTGGTTTTGCGATTTTTGGGAGACAACAAAATTTAAGGTACTTTATTATTTTATAATTTTATTTTATAATAGATCCATATTTATTGATTAGAAAAAAATTTCATTATATTATTATTTTTTATTTATCAATATTTGCAGAAAATTTCAAGTACTCTGAAAAACAATAGGAAGAAACTGACATATAGTCATAAATTGGGAACTAAGTCTCGTGCAACACATCAACATGAGAAAGTTAGTCATATTTTTTTTCTTACTTTAAAATTTTTGGTTGAGACGTAAATTAACATTTTAGTTGTTAACTCACAGGGTTTCGATGATATTGATATGTATGAGGTTGAATATCATAATGCGAAAAATGGATGGGCACATAAAAACTTTGAAGCTAATAGTGTAAGTGTAATTCATATTTTAGTTTATTTGTTAGTTCCTTTTATCAATTTTACTAGTGTGATAAAATTAAATAATGTATCCATTAAATGGCTAATATAGTTACTCGTATTTGAAAATATGTTCGAATGAAAGAACTGGGAGAACAACAAAGAGCTTTGCCAGATAGCGTTCATCAAATGAGCACAAAAGAAATTTGCATCGAAGTTTTAGGGGAAAATTCATCATATGCCAAGTCAAAAGGCCTTAATCGAAAAGCATCGGGAGTTGATGCTATTTCAACTTTTGAAGCTTCTAGCAGTAGGGCACGATTAGAAGAAGAGCTGGCGAACACACAGTCTGAGTTGGCGAACAATCAGTCTCAGTTGGCTGTTCAAAAAACTACTATGGAAGCGGTAGTAAAATTCATGGAGTAAGAAAATAAAATGAAATTAGAAGAGAGAATCCCTCAACATCTTTGGTAGTGTCCACGAAGTCGAGCATAACTCTCTCATCCGGACTCCAAATCGAGTGGTTCCGGTG